GAAGGAAGGAAGGAAGGAAGGAAGGAAGGAAGGAAGGAAGGAAGGAAGGAAGGAAGGAAGGAAGGATCTCTGAACTGAAAGTCAATGAAAAAAAAAAAAAAAGAAGAAAGATTTGCAAAGACTTCTGAGGGCTTAAAAAACAATAAAGTTTCATCAAACAATCCATAGACAAATCCCTCACATATAAATCTGCATCAAGTAGGATGGCAAAGTTTTTTCTTTTAATTCTATAAGATTTATATACAGTGTACATTGGGGAAGCTTGGGGACAGGGAAATTAAGAAGATAGTTTCTAAAACTGTCAAGTAAAGAAATAAAAAAAGACTTACTGTGGACTGTGTTTGTGCCATGTATTCATCCTCCATTTTATTCAGACGCATATTTGTATCCTCAAGCAGTTCTTGAATATTTTCAGTGTGTTGCTTTTGCAGATCAAACTTTTCCTTTTCCATTTCTGCTACAGCATGGTGGAGCTACACAATGAAACCAAGAATTGACTCTTTCACTACTATGAAATAGACTATTTTGTGATTCAGAAAAACCTGATGAACAAAAGATATAAAACCAACAAATAAGCATTCAAAGTAAAAATATCATATAAAGAACATAATTAGGAAGCACTTAATTTTTTTCTTTACTTTCCTGAACTGAAAATTTTAATAGCTAAACAAATATTAAAGAGAATTATCTGCCTCAGGTAGAAACAGTACATAAATGAGACAGATAGTAAAACAGCTAAAAAGCATTAGTGTTAGTCTGAAATCAGAAAACAGAAACGTTAATATTCTTATTGATTAGGAATATTATCTGTCTGTATTATTCATTTTATTTGTATGAAGTTTTACACAATAGTAATGTTTAAAAAATGCTTTTTCCCCTATCTCAACCCCCAACAAGAAACTACTTTTAGCCATTCTATAATCTACACATAAGTGGACACATAGATCACATTTTTAAATCAAATAGAAAATGACAGGATGACTAAGGACAACTTTAAATTATACATATCATATACGAAGTGCTTTATTTACAAAGATTACTGGGTATACACTGTGGAAATGGATGAAGCTTTAAAATACCTATGTAAACTAAGGTAAAGAAAACAAAGGCAAATACGGGAGGTCCAGACAAGGTTCAATGGACAACTTCCAAAGGGGGTTGAATATCTGTGCTCCCGGCCTTGTAGATATTCCTTCACTTATCTTAATGGGAGTGGAATTCTGAGTCTAACTCCTCTTCTCTATACCCAACTCCAGGCCTACTCAATAGGTGGGGAGAGAAGAGTCCAAAATAGTCTAAATGGTATATCTGACTCATTATCCATGAATAGGAGAGAGAGACAAAGACATGATACTGGCAGTGTGGACTTTAAAACAGGGAAGACTGAGAGAAGTTGGGAACTAGAAGCAGAATGCAGACAATAATTATGGTAACAGTACTTGGTAAGAGTCCCAAGAACGTTTCTTCTGGTTTCTAGCTGAACAGGGAGAGTTAGGGTGGTTCAGTAATAGCTAAATAGAAGACCCTTGAGTTTCACAAATTTAATATATGCAGTTTTAACTATTTGTAAGTGGTCCCCAAAATCCCTGGCATGTTTAAATTATATTTTTGCTGAAATATAAATTTTAAGCCAGTGTTATGTCTGATATTCAAAAGTGAGTCACTTAGCTGGTAAAAGAACGTAGCCAAGCTCATAGCACCTCAATCTCAGGGCTCCTTCATAGCTGTTGATTGACATGCACGGTAACTCTGATAAAGGAATCTAAAGGAGTCACTTGGAATTTTGTGGTGATACTTTTGTATATATTTGTGGCTATAGTGGTTTCCTCATGTTTATAGTCTCCCAAAGGCCCTAGGACATATGCCCTCTCAATATCAAAAATCTACAGTATTTAGTAGCTAATCAATACATTTTTCAGGTGTATCTCACAATTTTTTTATAAGGGGACTGTGCCTGTTGGAGGGGTGTCTTTAACTCAGGCTGAGTCATTTAAAACTCACCCTAGGAATTTATAGTTGAGACTACAAGGGTAAAAATGGCACTGGCAAAAACAAGCACACTACAACTTTGGCTGATCTGTTTGAGGATCAGGTGTATCTAGTCTAATAATCTGATTACAGATAATTAATATGTATTCATTCAACAAATTTTATTAGTACCTAGTATGCACCAGGCACACTGCATCAATGAGAGCTTTCTCAAACCCAGAAATGAACTGGAATCCATGTCACTTGATCTGAGAGGCTTCCTCCAAGGGATGAATTGTTTGTTTGAGCAGCAAATATTCTTTAGCATGCTATAAAGTACAAATTTTGCTAGGGTTTATGAAACCTTAAGGATGCCATCATGGCCCTGATAATAAGTTGATCCATAAAAATTCCCAAGGAGATTTTTTACCCAGAGTTTGGCAATGGATACAGGAGATGTAAAAGCCCTTCCCAGCATCCTACATATGTAGTAGATCCAGAGGCACCAGGAACATGTTCCAAACAGGAAGAACAGTGTTATAAAAGCCCACAGTATAATGGTGCAGCCACTTTGGAAAACAGTCTGGCAGTTCCTCAAAAAGTTAGAGCTACCATATAACCCAGCAATTCCACTCCTAGGTATATACTCAAGAGAATTTAAAACATATGTCCACACAAAAACATGTGCACATATGTTCACAGAAACATTATTCATAATATCCAAAAAGTGGAATTGACTCAAATATCCATCAACTGATAAATGGATAAACAAAATACGGGGTATATCCATACAATGGAATGTTGAATTAATTATTGATTCAATTTAGCAAGGTTGAAACTTAAAAACACAGTAAGTGAATGAAGCCAGTCACAAAATGACACATATTATATGATTCCATTTATATGAAATGTCTAGAATAGGCGAATCTAGAGAAAGAGAAAGTAGATTAGTGGTTGCAAGAGGCTGGGGAAGGGAGAAAGAGGAAGTGAACGCTAATAGGTACATAGTTTCTTTCTGTGTACTGATTAGTGATGGAAATGTTCTGGAAATTATATAGTGGTGATAGCTGCACAACTTTGTGAATATACCAAAAAATACTAAATCATACACTTTAAGAAGTTGAATTTTACCAGATGTGAATCATAACTCAATTTTTTAAAAAGGCCAGATAGCTGGGGAAAGTTTTGTACAGCTAGTACAAAAGTACAAGAAGGGAAACAGGATTGTGACAAAAGATGAGGCTTGAAAGAGCACCAGAGTCTTAGACATGAAGAGCCTTGTAAATCCTAAGGCAATGGGAGCCACTGATTTGAACATGGTGGTAAGACCAACCAGATGTGTGTTTTAGAAAGACCAGTCTGGCTGCATTGTGGGACAGGGACCGAAGAGCCTCAGACTAGGGACAGCATCCAGTTACAGTGTGTCTAGGCAAGAGATAGTGGTCTTCGGACCTAGAAGGGACAATGGTGAATAAACTCAAAAGATGCAGAATGAACAGAAGTCAGCAAGTGATTACATGTGTGAGGTGAAACAAAAAGAAGAGTCTTTGAGCAGCTGGGTAGATGGCTATAGGGAAATAGAGAACAGGGAAAAAGGGAATAATACCCTTAGGGAGCGATTGTTTTAGCAACAAAGGAAGAAGATGAAGTTTGGGGACAATGGAATTTAGATCAAGGAGAGATTTTAAATACGTAGTTAAATAACTGGGATTTAAGGTGAGAGATACAGGATATGTATTTCTATTAGGGAGTAATATACACAATATGCACATATCACATTACCGTTTCTGTACAGAATATCTAACAATTTTTGAATGAATGACTGCATAAATCACAAAATGAATCTATCATCTGCTTATTAATTTTTGGTATCTATCCTGTTTGGAATCTATCATCTGCTTATTAATTTTTGGTATCTATCCTGTTTGGTATCTATCCAGGTTTTCATCTCTGCCCAGATTTACACGGAATCATACTTCACAAAAAAGACTTTCAACCAGGTTTACAGTGTTTACACATCCACTGTTTATTGTATAACTGTAAGAAAGATCTATTAATCCAGCAAAAAGAAAAGGATTCCTTGTCTATTCAAATACCTTGCAGTTTAAACTAGGAAATAACAAACTAGGGAATTCAGACGAAGGGAGGAAGGGAGCCTGCTAGGTACACAAGGTATCTATAACAAGTACAACATTATGCCAGATTTAAAGAAAAGATAAAATCAAAATGTGAGAAAGAGAAAACCACACAAATTGACAAAGTAAAACTAGAAAAGAGCTAACTCTATCCCTCCTAATATCTTTGCAGAGTTCCATCTTAATATCTTCCCAGACTGGTCCTGAAGCTGCCGTCACCAGGACATATTTCAGAGTAACACTGTCAGCTTGGGAAGGCATTTATAAATTTCAATGAAACGTTTTGAAACCGGACTAACAGAGAAAATATCAGTATGAGTTAACTGAAGATTGTTATGATAGAATATATCAAAAGAAGTAACATTTAATTTCTCTTAAATGTATATTGTAATTTGAGCTAAGGGCTCCCAAGTGAAAGTACTACATTACTTTGTAAGACTCATTCATAATGAGTATTTTTGTTACATTAATCTTGGTGTTACTAAATTATATGAAAATATTTTTTCCTAATTATTAAATTAAATACTTCTCTAAGAATGATCCATCCACTAGTGATTATGTTTACATCAAAAGCAAGTTTACAGAGACTGGGAGGGGACAGCAAAGGGAGAGGTGGGTCAATAAGTACAAAGTTACAGTTAGATAGAAAGAATAAGTCCCGGTGTTCTATAGTAAGGTGATGATGGTTGACAATAAAGTATTGTATATTGCAAATTAGCTAGAAGAGAAGCCTTTGAATGTTCTCACCATAAAGAAATGATAAATGCATGAGGGGATGGATATGCTAAATACCAATCTGATCATTATATAACAAATACATGTATTAAAACATCAAATTGAACCCCATTAATATGTAGGATTAAAATATATGAATATAAAAAAATAATAAAATAAAACAGGTTCCACAAAAAATACAACTTTATACTATAACTTCTATCTGGATTATATTATCTGAAAATCCAGGAAAGAAATGTTCCAATGGCTCAAATCCAAAATTAAAAAGGTTTCATTTCCAAAAATTGTCCTACTGCTATTTCCCAACTAATTTTGCTTAAAATCTATTGGTTATGACAAAAAAAAAATCCAGAACATTAATTAAATTCAGTAATTAATTAAAATTAGTCAAAAGTACTAGCGTTTTCTAAATGAAAACTATTTTATAGATAATAGACTTCTAGAAAAAAATATACCAAAACATGAATCATAGCAATTTCTAGATAGTGTAGAATTTTGTTATTTTTATTTACTTTTTTCGTACTGTTCTGTATATTGTGTGAAATCCATTGTGTTTAAAATTAAAGATGTTACTTTGAAGCATAAACTTTTATGTTTTCTATAACTATTTTATGTAGCTTACCTTTTTCTCCCAATCATTATTCAGAGATTCTGTACTTTGCTCACATATCTTTTTTAGCTCTGCAATCTGGTTGTCTTTAGTCTCTCTGATAACTTGACAGTCACGTATAAGGGTCTGAACTGTCAAAAACGAGGAAAACATAGTTAAACCAATTTTAGATAATACAGGAGTTTGATGATATAAATACAGTGCACTAGTTAATATATAATTCAATTTTTCACTGTCTTCTCAATTCTCTCTTCTAAAGTATCACTTATTCTCTGCTCCTTTTCTCCATTTCTGCTACCATGGACAGGCTTGGTTGAATTCATCATTACACACTCCCTAGACAATGCTAACTGTGTGCTAGCCTCAAGTATCATTCCCCTCCGATGGGTCCCCTGTTGCTTTAAAGAGGCCTTTCCACAGTACAAATCCATTAATGTTACTCCCAGGCTTAAAATCATCCTACTGTTCTCCTCACCTAAAAGATTAAGTCTAAAAGCCTCTAATACAGAAAATAGTTCCTCATGATTCAACTATTCCCTGGCCATATCTCTTGCCAGTTCCATATTTTAAACCTGTATTGTATATAAACACACCAACCTATCTGCAGATTCCTGAGGACATATTCTCTTTTGTATCACTGCCTAAATATGACCATCTATTTATGACAATCGTATCCTAGAATGGCCTTCCCTCTCTTGCTGAAAAACTCCTACTCATCCTTAGAGTTGCAGTTCAAGTATCACCTTCTTTATAAACCATTCACCAACCAGACTACTATCCTTGAAGGGACAGAAAGCAACTCTTCTTTATTCCCATGAAACCTTGTGTATTTCTCTATTAAATCACTTATTATATGTAACGGTTTACTTGCCTATTTCCTCTTCAATAAGACTATGTTCACTGAGAAGAAAGACATTTCAATTTCTTATCCACAGGGCGTAATTGTGCCATACAGGCAAGTGCTCAAAAAGATGTGTACTGAGTGAATAAATAAAGGAACCCATCATTTCAATATATTGTGGTTATTAGGTACTTTAAAATAATTTTCAAGGTTTATGTTACTAAAACGAAATGTTTTAAATTCTATTATATATTTCCCTTATAAATCATTTATATTTCTATCTTCTCTAAAATTATTTAAATTGTCACTGATATAAGTGAAAATTTGTTTAATATATTCATGTCACTGGATGCTAAAATAAATTCAGCTGTTTTTTTACTTGAATGTAATATTTTCCTAGCTTACTGAATATGTTTTTATTCATTTACTTCAAGTAAATAGCAAATTTTTCATAAACATTTCCTGAGGAATTTCTTTCACTTGTATCTCAACCATACAACAAATAAGGGAAAGAAGAGAATGCAAGTTAACCTAACATTAGCCTTTACATCTAAACATACGTTATTTTACAATTCCAAAATTAAACTAAGACCTGGTTGTAATTCAAAAAGCATTAAGGAGCATTATTTCTAAAACTTGGGCATTTTTATTTATATTTTGGCAGCTGGCCAGTTCTGGGATCCAAACCCTTGACCTTGGTGTTACAAGGCTGTGCTCTAACCAACTGAGCTAACCAGCCAAACTGTAAACTTGGCCACTTTGAAAACTTAGGCATGTTTGAATTGCGTGGTTTGAATCAGGGTGAGAAAGAAAACCTGAAAATAAATTTAAAATATTTTTGTAGCCACTGATAATATATGCAGAAAGAACTCGGACAAATTTCTAATTACTTTTACCAACATTTAAGGCTAGAAATGAATCTAAAAATATATCTTTCATTGGTTTAGTTATATATATGTGATTGCCATCCGAAATTGTCAAGGGCATTACGTTCACCTAGATACTCTCAGGTTTGATGATTTAGGGAGATCCAGTAAGCTCCATATGGAAAGCCCTAAATGAAAACCTTCCTTTCTCCTTTCCTCTTACTCATCATTTATACTTATCATTCACCAAGTCCTGATTCACTCCTCAAAATTTCTTCTTCAGTTCCATTCTCACTACTCCCACTGCCCCTCACCCAGATATTCTGTGCAAAATTACAGAAGCACAGAAGCATAACATCTTTGAGTTAAAAGGGACTTGACATATTTATTCTGACTTCCCCATTGTATGATGATTAAACCAAGGCCCAGAGACCTCCTGATGTCATGTATCAGACATTGAATAGCAGTGCTGGGATGAGATCCTCCATTCTGTAACGAGTGGAATGCTCTCTCCCTCACTCCATTCTGCCTCTGACTGCTCTAACAGACTAGGCATTTTGTATGATGATTAAACCAAGGCCCAGAGACCTCCTGATGTCATGTATCAGACATTGAATAGCAGTGCTGGGATGAGATCCTCCATTCTGTAATGAGTGGAATGCTCTCTCCCTCACTCCATTCTGCCTCTGACTGCTCTAACAGACTAGGCATTTGCCTTATCCATGTTCAAGCATTACCAGGCTACTCCTCTTATAAAACATGAGATCCTAAAACTCACACTCAAAAATGTTCTCTGGTTCCCCAGCATCTACAGGATAAAGTTCAAACTTTTAAATCTGAAATTCAAAGTCATGCTTAACCTAGCCCCTGGTCAACTATCTTTAATCTTTTAAAATCTACTTCTTAATGCATAGGGCATCTACTGTGGCTAAATAGTTTTGCAGCAACCTTTCTACAACTTACCAATTTCAGCATTCCAATCCCAGTTACCTGGAACTAATAAAATCTTATAAAACTTCACAAAATCTTACAAGAGCTCTTTTCTTCATAAAATATTACCTGCACTCTCTCGTGTAATCACCTGCTGATTTAGATGCTTTGAGCCATAGTCAATTTAATACTTCATTACACACTTTCTTTTCCTTCTTAATGAAAGTGTAAACGGAAAATGCTTTTTAAATTTTTTCTATCAATCACAATACTAGCATATACTATAAGATATAAAGTAGATATTTAACATAATAAATTTTACTAGATGAAAAGAAGTAATTCCCTTCAATTTTCTCATTAAAGCTAGTAAGTCCTAATTCTATGACCGCCCTTAACTGATTTATGGCAGCTCTACCCCAGTGAGGAGCAAGAGAGTTAAAAAGAGGGAGTGACAGCGACATACTCCTCAAACTCCTTAGCCAAACCAACCACCGTTACCACCATGTTGCTATCGCCGCTACACACAGTTTTTTCCCAGCCATATGGAAGCCCACATAAATTCGTCCACTGATGGAAGCCCACATAAATATTCCCATCTCATACTATGAAGGTCAGAACTAAAATTTTACTTTCTACCATCACTAAGACAAAATGAAAATGCTATTAAAAGATTTATATAACAATACAACGTCACCTTTCTTTTCAAGCTTTCTAATAGCCTCCTCAGTTTCATTTTGTTTCTTTCTGTACAAGGTTTTCAATTCTTCTATTTCATTATTCTTTCTTTCTAAAATCTGGAAATATATTTAAAATGTTTTAGTATACTACACTGTTTTAAGTATAGAGCACGTAATTTTTATAATGCAAGTCTCACAACTAATCTTATAAATGTTTCCCCCCAAAATTGTAAAAATTAATAGTACATTGAGAAAATTATTAAATATACTAGAATAATTGATTATCTGAAAGAAATGTGTTATCTGTTCAGAATTTTCATGTATCAATTTTTAAGGAGAGTATAAATAATAAATAAGGTGATTCCCTAAAATATAATTCAGAAATTAAACTGTCATAAAGTGGCAGAGATAAGCCATCAGAAACTTGACATGCTGGGATAGTACAATTCACTCCACTGCACTGGAATAGAACATCTTCAGCTAAGCATGTCCCTGAATCCTCCCACAAGTGCCCTTCTATCATTTTAATTCAGAATAACAAGAATTCCCAGATATATGGAAATATGACAGGTAATAGGCTTCTTTTATATATAGTTCTGCTAATGTAAATCAGAAAAAATCATCTCAAAATGTCAAAAACTGCATGAAAATTTTACATCATTAATTTTTATTGTCAGAAGTTTTGAATTTAATCACTTAATAAAATTTAATCATGATTTTATAGTCCAAAATACATCTATACTTAAAAAAACAAAACAAAACACAGAAATAACCAAAATGCAGGAAAGTTAGCAAGCAGGACAAAATGCTAATCAAGGGGGGGAAACCCAAATTAAGGCAGGAATAGGAATATTCACTTTTCTTACAGTTGGGGTATATTTCCTATATACCCAAAGTCAGCTAAAAAAAGAGGGGGGGATTGCTCACCAATATCTAGCTAACTTTTTCTTAGTGTTTTTATTACCAGCATTTTACCTTTCCTTGTTTCAATCCCATCTCTAACACTAATTGGTGAATAAGAAAAGGAGCACGTTTGACCCCTGATGTCCAAAAAAAAAAGCAAAAAAGGAAAAGAATGTATGCAAATAGATAAAATACTAAATCTTATTCCTCCCCAATTCCTGACACTTAGAAAATGCCATACAAGCAAAAAAACTGATTAATATACTTCCCAATTCTGGAATAAGACCAAGGATTTTATTTATATTTTACCTGACACTTCAAACTAGTTGCTTTGCTTTCTTTCTTTACACAGAATTTATTTAAAAAGAAAAGATCCTAGATAAGGATTTTATTATTAAATGTTTTTCTTATAATATATCTTTGCAACAGACATACCAAGAAGCCTATTTCAAACTCTATCACCTGATTTTACCAAATTTATCTTTTATATTCATTTATCTTATACATCAATCTTACACGTCAATGTATTCTATTTCATTTGGACATGTTACATTGAAATTATATTATTGATTCTCTAACATATTTATGACAGAGAACTGTTTTTATCTAAACAGCTTAAACTAATGTAAAATTCTAGTAAAAACAAAAAGAAATATTTGCCTTTAAATTTTTAATGGGGGAGAGGAGAGAAGAAGGAAAAGGATTCAATATTTTTTTCTCTAATATACAATCAGTGGTTTCCTTCAGGTTGCTTTGAAAGATGAGCTAAACATGCACCTAACTAAATATCAACATATTTTAAGCTTTTAAGAAAGCTTGCACATGTGATGTTATGGCCTCACCTACCTGCCTTTGTCTCTGTCACTCAGTTTTGGGAAGCAATTTCATAGGCTTACTTTTGAAACAGTAAGCGCAAAATTTCTATTTGTATCAACCTTCATGTGTTTTAAAAACAAATACATTATTACAACTAAATTTTTAATTATGATTAAAATAAAGTATCAACTCAAAAATTCCATGTAAGATAACCACAAATGATGACTTTTGCTCTGCCAGTTAAAAAGAAAAATAAATTTTATTTAAAAATACAGATTGAAAGCTTGGAAAGCATAAATCCCAATGAGCGACTTATAAAAGAAGTTTCATTGTCAGTGCTAGCATTACAATGTATGCAATCTGTATCAAACAGAACTAAATCCAAGAGTTCCTTTTTAAATGAAAAAGGAAATTCTAATTACCAGAAAGCTGAGAGAATATTAGTAAAAAACAAATTCTAGTATTTATAGTTGATATCTCATTTCAAGTTTCATGAAAGGTAATGATAGAATGCAGATAAAGGACTATAAGAAGGCCAACCTTAAAACAATAGTTGAAGAAGAACCAAAAGATAATGTAAATATAAGGTTTCACATACACACATACGTTTAGCAAATGAAATTTAAAGATCAACTTTTGCTGGGATATTACTTTAGCAAATTCCATTTATAGCATAAAGTATCTTAAAATACATAAATAAGTGGATCAATAAATGTATAAATGTATGGACCATCACAAGACCTAGAATACTTTAAATGTTTAATATAAACAAAAGAATAATTGATATACTGTATATCCTACCTTCTGAACATCAGCATCATGTTTCTGCTGCAGTTTAAGCTTTTCTTCATGAAATTTAGCTTCCATCATTTTTGTTTTCATGTCCAACTTCATGGAAAAATTGTAAAGGTGTTATTAATTACTTTTCCCTTTGGCAAAAGATACATGATTAAATTAAAATAGCTCCCTGTATAAAAGACAGTATCACTTTCTACTTTACCTTGTAGCCACAGATTCTAGCCATCACATTATATATGCCAATACGTTGGTTGCATTCTTTCAATTACTTCCAAACTAATTAACAGTCTTTAAAATAATTTTCACTTGATAACCAAAACTAACAATACTAAGTACAGATTCATCAGTTATCTCCTACCTTCCTCCACCAAAAAACAAGTCATTTAAAAATGATTTTTGGGGCTGGCCCGGTGGCGCACCGGATAGTGCGCCGCTTGGGAAGCGCGGCGGCGCTCCCGCCCGAGGGTTCGGATCCCACATACAGACCAGTTCCCGCTCACTGGCTGAGCGAGGCGCGGGAGCAACACCGAGGGTTGCAATCCCGTTGCCGGTCCCCAGTCCAGTACGGGGGCAACACTGAGGGTTGTGATCCATTGCCGGACACGGAAAAAGACAAAAGACAAAAAATAAAAATAAAAATAAAAATGATTTTTGACTTTTGCTGTTACATTTAAATCCACACAGTACAGCCTTTATTATTTTTCATGTCAGTATCACCCAACCTTTTAACTTTTTTCTTTGCTCACATCTACATACTCATTTAAAAATACTCTTATTAACCTACATATTTAAACATGACAATTTGAGAATAATATCCACAAAAATCGCAAATTACTGATAAATGCACGTTTCTCTTAAGAGTTTTCCAGTTCTCTCTCCCGGAATCAACTCTCAAAGCAGTGACTTTATCTCCTTTTTAGTATTCCATAACTCCTAACCACCCCAAACCAACACCACATGCAACAATGTTCTGAGCAAAGCCATCAAAAAGTAGCCAATGCTTGTAGATAATGAGTGCATCCTATAATTAAAACAACAGTCAGTAGTGACAGTTAAGAAGAGCAACATAAAACTAATTATCAATTAATTAGGTAGAAGAATTTGGCCACCTGGTTCCTTACTGTTTAAGAGTATACACATTAGAGTCTGACAGACCTCATTTCTCTCTAATTCTAATCCCACCACACACTAACTTTTGTGACTTTAGGGAAGTCAACAACCACTTTGACACTCTATTTCCTCTTCTGCTAATTAAGAAACAATATCCTTACCTCAATGGATTGTGAAATTTATATTCAATGAAATAATTTAGGTGACCATATCCAGTAAAATGTATGGCATAACTTTATGTCCATTGTCAGATGACTGGATAAGAAAAATGTGGCATATATACTCAATGGAATACTACTCTGTCATTAAAAAAAAAAAAAAAAAAATGAAATTTGCCATTCACAGCAACATGGATGGACATAGAGAAAATTAAGTGAAATACTGCATGTCTTCACTCATAGTGGGGGAGGGGGAGGGGGGAGGGAAGGAAGGAAGGAAGGAAGGAAGGAAGGAAGGAAGGAAGACAATAATACATTAAACTTCCAAAAAAAGAGAGAGAGAACAGAATTGTGGTTATCAGTGATGGGAAAGGGGGAGGAAGAGGGAGACTGACAAGAAACTAGTTGACGGTCACAAAGATTATGTTTTGTAAACGTGAGTATACTAATTACATTGATTTGATCACCACATATTGCACACATGTCCTGATATTCGATTCTGTACCCCACAAATATATATAATCAATAATAAATAAATACACAAATACATAAATACATCTTAAAAAAGACATCGTATGGCATAAAGTAGGTATTCAAAAATATTAGTTTACAACCTTCAGGAAACTTTTCTTTTAAAATATTATAAATGTACTATCAAATTATTTTCTTGAAATTTTTTGAAACACACTATATTTTCAATTACTACTTCAAATACAAGATAAATAATGAATATAAACTTAACAAGGTAAACATGCATGATCAAATCAACATATCAAAATGAAATTCACAAACAAAAGTTAAGGTAACAAAGATTCATCACTTTTAAACATCATGAATGGGGGAGAAGGAAACAGTTAGCCATTTACTTTGCAAAAGGAAAAAATTATGAATGTTTCTATTCTCTTGCCTTTAAATCGCATGATACTTTTTCCTCATTTTTGTAGAAAAAGGGCTAGGTAATCTAATTCCGTATGAAGTTACTTAACAGAAGCATTTTGGAGTATATAAAAAAGGAATTAAACCCAAAAAGCAATAAAACAAAGCTGGCCAGGTAGAAGGGACAAGATTCATTGCCAGATCTTTTCATAATACCTCCTAGAGAAATTAACATACCCTCAGCTTCTGAGGGTCAACCCTAAATACCATGGAACTGTGCTGCCATACTCTAACCCATCGCACCTCATTTGTGCCACCTCAATCTTTATTGATCAAATTAGGAATAAACACCTGAAACATGCTTAAGTAATCCATTAGCTAGTAAACAATCATTCAGATTCTCTCTCTCAAGAATCTGCAAACAGGGACAATTTGACTTTGACTTTTCCAATCTGGATGCCCTTTATTTTTTTTTTTTTCCTGCCTGATTGCTCTGGCTAGTACTTCCAACATTATGTTAAATAGGAGTGGTGAGAGTAGGCATCCTTGTCTTGTTCCTTTTCTTATCATCCCATTTAGGATATGATATTGGAGGAGGGTTTGTCATATATGGCTTTTATGTGTTGAGATTGTTTCCTTCCATACCTAATTTACTGAGTCTTTATCATGAAGGGATGCTGAATTTTATAAAATGTTTTTTCTGCATCTATTGAGATAGTCATGTGGTTTTTGTCCTTGATTTTGTTGATGTGGTGTACCACATTTACTGGTGTGCATATGTTGAACCATTCTTGCCTCACTGGGATTAATACCACTTGATCGTGGTATATAATTTTTTTGATATGTTGCTCTATTCTATTTGCTAATATTTTTTGAGGATTTTTATATCTATATTCACCAAAGATATTGGCCTGTAGTTTTGAATTTTTGTTGTATCTCTGTCTGGTTTTGGAATAAGGGTGATGCTGGCCTCATAGAATCAGTTTGGGAGAATGGCTTCAGTTTCAATTTTCTGGAATAGTTTGCAGATAATTGGTATTAATTCATCTTTAAAGGTTGGGTGGAATTCAGCAGTAAAGCCATCCTGTGCTGGGCTTTCTTTTTTGGAAGACTGCTGATTTCTGCTTCAATCTTGTCACTTGTTATTGGTCACTCAAGCTTTCTGCTTCTTCTTGGATCAGTTTTGAAAGTTTGTATGTGTCCTGAAATCCATCCAATTCCTCCAGGTTTTTAAATTTATTGGCATGTAGTTGTTTATAATAGTCTCTTGTGAGTCTTTGTATTTCTGTGGTATTGGTTATAACATTTCCTTTTTCATTTCTAATATCTGTTATTTGGGTCTTCTGTCTTCTTTTTTTAGTTAAACTACCTAATAGTTTGTCTATTTGGTTTATCCTCTCGAAAAACCAACTTTTTGTTTCATTGATCTTTTGTATCATTTTTGGAATCTCTATTACATTTAATTCTGCTCTGATCTTAATTATTTTTTTCCATCTGCTAATTTTGGGATTGGATTGCTCGTTTTTCAGGTTCTTGGAGGTGTGGTGTTAGGTTATTTATTTGAAATCTTTCTATCCCATATAAAGAAAAGCCTAAAGACTCTACAAGAAAACTCTTAGAGTTGATAAATGATTTCAGTAAAGTTGCAGGATACAAAATCAACACACAAAAATCAGTAGCATTTTTACATACCAACAATGATTTAGCAGAAAAAAAGTCAAGAAAGCTAGCCCATTTACAATAGTCACCAAAAAAATACCTATGAATCAACCAAGGAGACACAACAAGAACTAAAAATCTCTACAACAAGAACTAAAAATTACCATTGAAAGAAATTAAAGAGGACACAAAAAGATGGAAAGACATTCCATGCTCTTGGATTAGAAGAACAAACACTATAAAAATGTCCATCCTACCCAAAGCAATCTACAAATTCAGTGCAATCCCCATCAAAATACCAATGACATTCTTCACACAAATAGAAAAAACAATCCTAACATTCATATGGAACAAGAGAAGACTTGAATAGCCAAAGCAATCCTGAGCAAAAATAAATAAATAAATAAAGCCAGTAGCATAACACTACCTGACTTCAAATTATACCACAAAGCCATAGCAACCAAAATAGCATGGTACTGGCATAAAAACAGACACTCAGATCAATGGAACAGAATAGAGAACCCAGAAATCAAACCACATACTTAAAGCCAACTAATATTTGACAAAGACAACAAGAACATACATTGGGGAAAAGAGTGTCTCTTCAATAAATGGTGTTAAGAAAACTGGACATCCACATGTAGAAGAATGAAACTAGACTTGTACCTCTCACCATATACCAAAATCAAGTAAAAATGGATTAAAGGCTTACATATAAGACTGAAACCATAAAACTCCTAAAAGCAAACCTTTGGGAAGTAGGACTGAGCAAAGGCTTTATGAATATGACCCTAAAAGCACTGGCAATAAAAGGTAAAATAAACAAATGGGGTTATATCAAACTAAAAAAGCTTCTGCACAGCAAAAGAAACAACAGAGTGAAAAGACAACCTACAGAGCAGGAGAAAATATTTGCAAACTATATATACATACAGCAAAGGATTAATAAACTGGAATATACAAGGAATTCAAACAACTTAACAGTAAAAAAGCAAATAACCCAATTGAAAAATGGGCAAAAGAGTTGAATAAACATTTCTCAAAGGAAGATATACAAATGGCCAACAGAAACATGAAAAAATGCTCAACATCACCGAGCATCAGGGAAATGCAAATCAAAACCACACTGAGATATGATCTCTCCCCAGTTAGACTGGCTATTATCAAAAATACAGAGAATAACAAATGCTGGACAGGATGCAGAGAAAGAGGAGCCCTCCTATACTGCTGGTAGGACTGTAAATCGGTGCACCCTTTGTGGAAAACTGTTTGGAGTTTCCTCAGACA